CCGAAAAAATAAGTTTCAAAAAGTTATAGCCCGTTTTGAGAAAGTTAGAGCAGATTTTCTCTAAACTTCGAGTTTTTCGGGTTTTCGACTCGACCTTAGTATTTTGCTTTTTTTTCTCCCCCAAAACTGGATCAAAATCAATTCAAAAGGTGATATTCGTAATCACCGTGAAATTTTGCATCGAATGATATAGTTTTAAGTGAAAAATAAGAACTTGCAATTCTTTTGAATTAGCGGCGCCTTACCTGCATAAACGTACACATTATGCAACACACGCTACAGTGACGGCTTCCGCTAGTAACGAATTGGCTAATACTATCGTCAACGAGTTGAAGCTAGTTGGAATCGCATACAGTAACTTAGTTTTCCATGAAGAAAGCATTTCTCAAAGCTGAATCTAAAGACAATACTATGTAAAATTTAATTCCCAACATGTTTTTCTCTTGTTACAAATTTAGGAAAACCTTTCTTTGGGATAAAAATGCGATTTTGTTTATCATTTTTGATTTTTCAGTATGAAGGAAGGTTTTTCTAGTAGTGTAGGTAGCTGCGGCGTTCGCTAAGCCCCTGCAATATTTTTACATTTTTTGTATAGCTGGTTGCAGTGGATTATGAAGCTAACGTAACTTAGCTAGCTGTAGCTTACACTACTAGCTTATTTTTTCACGCTTTGGTGCTCTAGTCAGTTCAATAAGATAGAATCGTTCTATTGATGGGGATCCAACCAGATTTTGACGTAGGTGTCCGTTTATGTATGATTCCTTAGGGATAATAAAAGACTCGATAATTTAGTAATATTAAATCGAATAATCGAGCTTCAAAGATATTTGATCTTTTTTCATCTTGTCACACGTGCTGTTAAGCAATAGAAAGTTGTCATTCTTTTCTAACTGCAGCTAACCGTACAGATGCCAGTTGCTGTTGTACTCGTGTTGTAGATACGATAAATTAATGAAATTTTACATGTTCCAAACTACGAAAAAAAATTTAGGTATTTCTGGCAGTGTGTGGGGGGCGGCGGTGAGGGCAGTGTACAGTGAGCCTGAAAAGTAGTTTCACATAAAGGATATTTGCATCAAATAGTTTCAATTTGCTTCAGCTTTTCAGTTACTTATCTGGTATGTCAGTATTTCAAGTTGAAGCTATTTTAAAATTTTTTTAACGACTATGTTCAGTCATATCCGTTTTTTTGTTAGTTTGCTTAACATCTGTTTGCAAAAACTCTTGGAATAGTCGTGTCACGTAAGAAGTCATTGTAGTTATATAAAACATACAATCTAGACAGTAGCGACTCAGCTGGATAAAAGTGACATGTATCGAGCACTTTTTTGTATTTAATTGCAAAGATGTTACAACAGAAGAATTTCTATAAATGAGTAATTGTTTACGTTATAACTTACGTTAAAACTTACAATGTTGAGATGCATCTCATGATTTCATTAAATCATGAAGCCTTCATCAGTTGCTTGTCTGGAGCTCCATTGCTAAAAAGTCATGTTCGCCCAGCGCTAAGATCAACATGCGCTCTGGGAGATATGGCGATGGTTTGTGGGAGAAAGATGAAACGAGAAAAATTGAATCAGCACGAGACATTCCTCACAGGATAAAACGATATTCAATGTTGTTCTATGACAGGTAACCCACGACAACTAACCTTCAGCACTATAATGACGTTTCGTTTCCGAATTTTATAACTTATTTATGATCATATCTTATTCTTTCGTCTCGTTATTTTTCGCTTTACTTAAACACATGCTCTCATTTTACTTTTTCGGTTCTTCTTTGTACTACGTTTACCAAATCAGCATCTCGAAATCGTTATGATACTTCATCCTAGCCAAGCAACAAGAGTTTATCATCTTGTTTCAGCACACCTCTCTCGGCTTCAACCGTTTTACGTACAACTGAAATTACCTCACCAGCAGCGACAACGAAAAAGCCTACGTTACAAATACCAAAATCAGCACCAGCAAGAGTAAACGACCTAAAAAATCAACCATATCAAAACGGCTTAATTCTACTCCAACGTCTAACGCATGCGTAAACAAGCCGTTTAAAACCACTCAGAACTCCGACTACACCAAGCAAAATCAGAGCACCAGGTACGCTAGTGAGATCTGCAAATACGAAGAAAAATGTGATTAATACTTGGGCATGAATTAAAAACTAAAAAGAATGGAATCGTATGTAATCCTTGTCGGTGATGAAACAGAACAATAAAAATACACGGTCCCTCTTTAAGAGCGTCCAGAAAACATGTTCTCTCTTCTTCTGATATCTAGACAAAAACATTTTTTTATGTTTAGTGTTTTCGGTGATTTAAGAAATAAAAGAGCAATAAAAAGTAGTAATAAAAAATTCGTAACTCAGTCTAATTAGCGGAAAAATAAACTTCCGAACAGTGAGAAGCTCCACTTCTGACACAGAAAATATGTTTAAAGCCGAGAAGAAGAAATCAATTACTGCTCTTACCAATGTATGACAAGAGTTTCTTACCACGCGTATTAAATTTCCGGTGAAAAAAGTAGTCAACGATATTACGGTTAGTTTGTTTTCAGCTCTCAGTCAGCTTAAGGTTCTTTTATCTCATAAAATTCTCCTCTTTCGGTCTTTATCAAAAGCCAGCGGGGAATACTAGCTATACATGAAAAGCTGCATCTAAAAAAAATAGTTTCGATGTCATTCAAACATCTTATGACCATTGAAAATTTAGATTTTCCGTCTATGAAATGAAATGAAATACCTCATCGGTGGTTGCTAAAGGAATCAACTCTTTTTAAAACAGATATGAAGTCAACATTTTTTCAATATTATTTTTCCAGGGGGGTAGAGTTGAAACTGCAAATGATATAAAAATGTAGTATATACCGAATTAATGCTCATATAAAATGGGATTGTTTATAACTGGTATTCCGTATGATAATTATTGGCTGTAGAAGTACGGAAGTTTCTATCGAATGCATCATAATGAAATTTTTCCTCATTTTCAACAATGTGTCGGAGTAAGAAATGGAAAACCTGATCGATGTTTTGATTTCACAATTACTAATAGAAAGGCAATCATCTGTGATCAAACTAAATAAACCCGATCGAAAAAGTGTTTGTTTTGTTGAAGTTACGGAACTTTTACTGAAAGCTACACCCAGAATTTAATCATTATGATGCACTTGACAGAAACTTCCATAGTTCTACAGCCAATATAGAGAATGTTTGATTGTTGCGTTAAAAAGTTTTTAAAATGTTGCACATTTTTCACTTGTTTTATATTTCTTTTTGAAAATGTTTAGAAAAATTTGCTGGTTCAGGCTATTTACGAATATACTCAGTAAAGGAAAGAATTCACGTAGATAGCTTTATAAACAACGACTGCCATGATGCAACAGAATGAAATCTTGTGGTAATATGTGGCAAATTTTTCTAAACATTTTCAAAAAGAAACATAAAACAAGTGGAAAATGTGCAACATTTTGAAAACTTTTCCCATTAGACAGTATGTTTACGTTATAAGTGCTCTTTGTTATAAGCTATTTATTAAAGAAGAATAAAAGATTTGTTTGTGTTCACTAAAAGAGAGAATAGCTCCCCATTATTAAGAGCACAAAAAACACACAGATCATGTGCATAAGTACAAACAGCTGAGTAAAACAAGCAATGTGGTAAGCTTCATAGTTATACAAAATCTTCTAAGCTTGTGTGCAATAACGGTAAGATATGCTTGTAGTCGGTAATAAATACCAGACATAATATCCATTGCAATTTAGTACACTTATTGGTGATACTGAAAAGCCGCACGTACCAGTATAAAAACAGACATTTCCCGTTGTTAATGTTCCTGCTGATGTTGGTAATGAACCATTGAACCATCCAGGAAAGCTAATCCCACAACTACAGGTCGAAGAGGGCATAGTCGTGATAAGTTGCGAACCAGCTGATCCCGAGATACGATACCAACCAGCTGTAAGAGAGCTGTCATAACTGCCTGTGTTGCAAGTATAACCATTTGCCATCACTCGATAGGGATCAGTAAGGGATGAATAAGCATAACACTGAACTGGTAGAGAAACAGAATATGAAGAGTTTCCTGAAGCAAAAGAAAACAATTCAATTAAGATCTATCAAGTTTCTTGATCTCAAAGAATGTTCAACAATTCTTGTCAAGATCTTGTCAAGTGTTTTTGAAGAATCTGCCTGCAAAAATCTTGATCAAGATCTTCACAAGATTTGAAAACTTGTCTGTAATTAACAAAAATCTTTGCTAACAAAGAAAGTTAGCAATCATTTCGATTACGACGTGACTCAGAGGTTCGACAAAAATGTAAATATGCCAACTTTGTATTTATTTATAGTTATTGTAGCACTACAGTGTAGAGGACTTCTGCTAAAATTCTGTTGCTCGAGAGAGTAGACAAATAAATGTGTTATTCTTTCAATCACCATTTTGTTTGACATTTTCTTGCATATACAAGAATAAATACTTGCACTACAGAACAATGAAAATTTTGAAAGTGAAACTCAAACATTGTGTTTGAATGTATGGTTGCTCGTGCACTTTCAACAGCTCTGGTACTGTATGCATAGTACCGTAGAGCTTGCACGGTATACAGTAGAAAAAAATAAAAATATAAAGTAGAAAATAAAGTTTAAGGTTTTCTTTCAAATTTCCAAATCTTAGGCCCCTCCGTCCCTCAGAAATGGTGATTTTCGGTCAAAAAGTCGGTTTTGAGATAAGCACATAGAAAGATAGCCTGAAGTGTCCTATATTGCTTTTGGTTACAAAACTGTTTTTTCGGGAATTTTGAGCAAGTTTTCTAAGAGCCTCGAAAAAATGGGTCTTCAAATAATGGTTTTTTCCTGGATACTTACACAATTAAAGTTTTTCTGAGAACACAGGTTTGTAGAACAAACGTTTCTAATCAAAATAAGAGTAAAATAAGTCCTAAAATCGAGTATTTCATACAGCATTTAATACAGCGTTTCCACTATTTAGGAGTTACACCTAAACTGCGTCCCAAGATTTTTAATAGCGGTTTGTCGTAGAGAGTTCATTCTTTTTTGGTTTAAAAGAGGAAAAGAAACTACATCGACTGCGTCGATTTTTGAATTAGATCTTAGTTTTTTTGAATTAGATCTTAGGCTGTTTAGAAAATCCGGAAGGCTTTTCCGGGTTTCGGAGATTGTTGGTTGCCTGGAAAACCAATAAAGACTTAATTGAAAAATCGGCACCGGTCAGTCGATGCAGTTAGGTGTCTAGTTTAAAATACAACAAATCCAAACTCTCCAGCTTGAAGTATATTAACAAGTCTTGAGACGCCGTTCAGGGTCCTTTTTGGATCTTGATCTCTGGAAAACTCCTTAACCGTAAGACTTGGAGACAAAAAAATCTTTTCATTCCCGTAATTCATTGTACCGAACATTTATGGAAAGTTTCGTCAAGATCGGATATACGGTGTCGGAGATAATTTCTGAGGAGGGCCCTTAAGAGACGTTTTCTCAGCTCATCAAGAAATCAAGTCACGAGTGAAAAATTTACATATACTTTTTATCTCATATTCGGAGTCTACTATCAAAACTGGGGTTATGGAAATATGAAGGAACTTTCTGATTTCTCAAGTTTTGGAACTTTTCCACCACTTTTAAAATAAAGTTAATGAAGATTCTGATTATTGCGTATTAAATTAATCATTTCAGGATTCTTGAAATATCTTGACAAGATCTGCTCAAGATTTTATAACGACAGATTCTGATACAAAACTTGTGGAAAATCTCCATTGGTTTTCATTCAGAATCTTGACAGATTTCGATAAATCCGTACAAGTTCTTGAAAGATCTGTGGCGAAACTCGAGAAATGTTTAAAGATTTATTAAGATCTACATTCCAGATTTTTCTCTTAGTTATAGCGTTTGTGGGATACGCTCTAAACCTTTAAGTGTATTCTATGTCGAAGCATTATAAAAAATAACGATCCATAAATTAACAAAATATCCCAAGCAAATCGCTAAGAAATGGCAGTATTTTACCTGTAGTGCTTGTTGCTGTTATGCTGCTAGCCGATGAACGTGAGCTCAACCTACAAAAGACAAAAATGAGCTAATCCACTTAGCCTAGTATTTCACTCTTTTGTTTTACCATAATGTTGTCATAACAGCCAATGGAATACCACAAACAATTAAACCGATTAATAAGAAAACCATTTTTGACGATGACATTTTAGAACATGTTTTAGCAAAACTGAAACATGGAAATAATCTCATAATTTAATTGATAATTGCAAAAGTCATATATTTACCCTGACTCTGGTTTCTCTCCTGCCATTGGATTCATTCTATTTTTTGGTGGTAATGGGCCTGCTCCCCATGCATCAGACCGTACCAACTGACTTGTTGATGATGAGCTGAACTGTGGTTCAATAGCAGAAGCACGTGCCACTGGTTGTTGGTATTGAGGCATAAAATTAGCACGATTGATTATTTGACTGAAGCGTGGATCAACTGAGTTTTGAGGAACAGTAACAGGTGGATATTCGCTTCTTCTTGCAGTCAAATAAGGGTACATTTGATCTTCATTTTGCTCCTAATATGAAAAAGAGGACAACTCCACTAGCCGAAAAAAAACTTCAAAATATCAACATTGGTTGCATACCATCTTCTATGATCCTAGGACAGCTTTCACTTTCAATAACAAAAATAACAAAATAAAATGATGATTATTTTGTTGAATAACAAGATGCATGCGTATTACCAAATAGTCATATTATACAACAGAATAAAGAAAACCTTCTAAAAGAAATTTATTTAAAATAAAAATGTCTTATTGGACTTTTGTTTTGTTTAAAAATACAACAAACAGAAGTAGTAATACATGTTCCTTATGCCAAAAAAATAAACTAATTTAGATTCAAATATAATAAATAAATTAAATTTTATATGGGTGTACCTTGAGAGTGTTGTTACTTTGTAGTCATTACATAAACAAAGCTATTTTCGAAAGTTTTCATCATGATGGGTTCGTACAGCCAAAGATTATTTGTTTGCTTAAGGGGGCTCCCCCATATATGTACCTTCAAACTTTGTCAGTTTAAAGAGGACACCTGGCTACATATGTCCTAAAGTTCTTTCGATGAACTGATAAGTATTCACAGAGTTATTAATTAATTAAGTTTAAATTTTAATGAAAATTTAAAGTCCTAGTCCTCATTTTAAAAGACTTGTAGCTTAGTCCAGAATAATCGTAGAAAAGTCATTTACGCATTGCTTGATAGTCAATGGTCTGTTGTTATGGTTTAATGAAAAAAAATTTGAAAAAAAAGCTTTTTTGAAACAGTAATTTATCATGCTAATGAATAATAATTAATATCACTCTGGTACCTTACAGTTTTATTTGCAAATTAATGGTTTATTAGAAACGGTAAAGTAATACGTCATTCGACAGAGATTTCCAAGCCCTACAAAGCCCTGTGTTTATCTTTTCAAAAATGTTACGCATAAGCAGTTATTTGCACTTAATTTCAGGGAAATGGAGTTTCTACTATGCTTTCTCAATACAGCGGTCATGGATGTCTTTTAAATAACTCGAGAACAAAAAGAGATTGAGAGTTCGATTTTCAGCATTCTGTAGAGAAGGCTTTATTCTATCTTCACATATATTTGGTGCTAAAAATCTTGATTTTTCAGGTGGTGTACCTGACTGATGAAAAGCAATGAGGTTGCCAGATTCTGAATCTGAGATGGATTTTTAATTATAACATGGTGACTAGATAGCCCAAAGTGTTTTCTACAATTCTGCGCAAGGCCGACCTCTCTATCTATTAAGGTTCGCGATTAGCAGGCATTTTCTGGAGTCACCCGTAATTCGTTACCATTTCTCTTGAGAAATGCCTGCTATTCTAGACCCACAACAGATAGAGAGGCCGGTCTTGCGTAGAATTGTAGAGAACACTTTGGGCTATCTAGCCACCATGTTACAATCCTTCAAATTCAAATTCAATCGTCCTTTTCAAACTGACATAGTTTGATAAGTGTGATGACCCAATCCTTAACTCCAGTGTGAAACTCTTGCCAAAGATCCTGCAATAACGAAGCATGATGGAGTAAAAGTCCTGCTGCAAAAATTGTGCACAATGGTCGACTACGGGGGGGTAACGTTGCCTGTTTTTCAGAGTTAATGGAAAAATTTTGAAAAAAAATAAGACAACGTTACCCCCCGTTACCAGATTCGAGACGATAACCGCTTTTTACACTTATAAAAACCCTAAGACAAAGAAACAATTCTAGACAACGAACCGAAACGCTTGTACTAATCCGGCTTCCGTGAAGTATGGAACATTTTATACAGTGGTGCTTACAAATTCCCGTATTTGTTGCACCTGCGGCTGATGGCATTGTACCATTAACCAAATCTGAAAACTTACTTTTCTTAGATCTCTATTACTGTGATATTGGTTCATGTTAACCCTATGCATTTGATTTAGTTGATACACGTTACCGTGCATGTCTCTATGCCGAACTGGATATACCCAATATAAACGCTGAAGTTATGACAATGGGAATGTCAAATTGGATCAAGGGATAGGATTGATACATCGGAGCAATTATGGATTAGTTGGTATATCCTACACAGAATTTGCGAAGAATATGGATTGCAAATTAGTTTTGGTTGCTTTGGTAGTTTTGGTGCTGGATGTGCAGTGAATTTTAATGTTGAAAAAATGAAAAAGAAAGAGAAGGTTTGAAGTAAGTTGTTTCTTTGAGATTTTAAAAAAGACGGACAGTGTCGAATGAAAACTCACAGGATGGTTTAGTTTTAATTGTTTTAGCAAAATCTGCTAAAGACTTTTCTTCAAAAGGGCCTGCATTTTGTCAAACTGATATATCTACAACACGGAACCTGAAAAAGGTGGGAGGCTACACAATTTGAGAAGAACAGTCTGGATAACTCAAAAATGTATCTGCATATTTTTGGCCGTTTAAAGATTTTTCAGAGAACGATGTTCTGCAGAATAATTTTGTTTTTAGACTCAGCATCGAGAACTTCACTATTGCACCATATTTTTCGAAGTTCTAATCCTTTTCTGCTGGCCGTAAGGCTGACCATAAGGAAAATTCGAGGACAGCGAACTCAGAATTTACAAAAAAGATCCGAGATAATGGATTCTCTGCTCGAAGTATTTCAGCTATGTGTAGAGGAGCATGTCCAAATGGTACACTGGAATTCTAGGTTAGACTAAGTCCTGCTTACGGACAAAATCCTATGATTTTCACCTTTTTCTTAATCTTCTAGTGCCTTCCCTCACGTGCGATGCCTACAACTGTTCAAAAAGAAGCCAAAAACTTACTTACAGAAGTGCTATTTCTGATTAAAATCTCAGCTGCGCACTTTCATGATTTCTGCTTGTCTGCTTGACACTATGGCCACTTTCTTCGAATTCGATTTCGATTTCGTCTTTCCTTTTTTTTTAAAGGGTATAGAGGAGGACGTCGAAAAACTATCTCATCGTCAACTTATGAATATGCGTCAGTATGGTCCAACATTTGGTAAAGATAATAAACGTCATCCGACAGATCAACATGAAACTGAATCCTATAAAACATTTTTATCAAGTGCAGCATCACGTATAGTTTATACCACAGCCAGAGATGGACAACTCCAATTCCGAAGTTGAGCTTCGTTTTGGTGGAGTTGGAGTTGATGACAGATTTGTCAACTGCAACTCCGAAATTCCGATTCAAAATTTTCTGAGCCACATTTTCTTTTTCTTCGCGAGTGTTCTTTTTGTTTGGTTTTTATCTATTTTTGTCGTGAGAGATATAAACGTGTGCTCATAATACAATAACGTATGATACACTTCACATCTCGTTGCACATGTACCACACGGAAGGAATTATGGTTCATCATAATGTTTTTTTCCTATGCGTACTATTATAAAAGAAAACATGACCGCTATACGGACGATTCAAACACACAGGAAGGAAATACTTACAACCGCTGTATAACTCATCCCACAACACCTGATCGAACAATCACAATAAAATCGAGTTAATTTATGGAAAAGGTAAAAAACTCAACTCTATCCTTTTTTCCGTCTTCAACATTCATGTGGAATAATTTATCGAATAAATTACGTCAAAGACATAAACTGCCTTCTTTCACACAAGAGCTATCGAAATTCGTAGCATCTGACTTAGAATTCACACTAAAATTAAAAGTAATGAGAGAAATGAATAGAAGTGCTGATATCGCGTTTCGTCAAATGTGTGATGACTTTTCGACGTTAAGATTTGACTTATTGAAACGATATTTAAAAAATCAAGGCGATGATTTTTGTGACTACTCTCAAAGTGAGTGTCAAGAAGTTTCTTTTATCTTACAATAAATATAGCTTAAACCAAAAGAACGAATAGATGTCAAGTAGGAGCTAAAACAGACTTGAAATTGATGCCCTCGGAGTTGGAGATGGAGTTGTACCTAGCCAAAGTTGCTCATCTCTGACCACGAGCATGTTGTTGACAATTAATGTGATTATTTTGAAGCTCTTCCACCAACAGCAAATTGTGATCCATATTCAGTAAAGTATATTTTAGTAAAAACTCTTTATTTAAATGAAACGAAGAGGTGATGATGTTAATGATAGTGAACATATAAAAGAATAACTGTAGTAGGAAGAGGGTTTTACTATATATTTTTGTAGTTTATTAGCTTTAATATAAATGATAGCTTAAGGAGGAAAGAAACAGGTTCTAACTTAGCACAAAGAGTTGAGGAAAAGGTTTATGTGGCAGAGAATTATTGATCTCAAATATGTCTATGTTCGCCGCTGCTTTGCACAAAAAAGATTATCACATTTTGTTTATTTATTTGTTTGTTCTCTTCTGTCTTGTTATCTGTTATATAATAATTGTCTTTTTTCGATAAGTACCAAGAAAATTATAAATTATCACATAATGGGGTGGTAAAAAGAAAGAAACCTTATAAATGAGTTTCAATCATCAACAGAAAATTAAAAAATATTAAGTGTGTTGTTAATAGATTCTTTTTTTCTATTTCCTCTTGGGCTTCAGAAAACAAGAAACATTAAAAATGAAATTATTATTAACATTTGTATTGTTATTTTAAATGTCAAAATACCAGAATAAAAAGTTACGATATGTACTGTTATCTTGTCTGCTAAGATTTTCAGAAATATGTCTAGGCAATGTTTCAAAAGGAGTCAAACGAAGGCCCAACATACGTGTATCTCACTCTAATCTGTCCTCCGATTCGTCAAAATAGTAGTTTGAAGTTCAATCAGATTATGAATCGTGCTAGATCTTCATCAGCTCAGCAAACATCTATTAGTTTCGTTTTATTTAACGAAGATTGTAATATACAAAAAAACTTTTCCTCTCTACATATAACAATAAAATAGAGCATATGAAGAAAAACAACTTCTGAGACGAGTGTTTTTATTCGATTTCCTTTTATCCATATAATCTAGTGATGCTCTAGTGATCGTGAAAGTTTGGTGAAACCCTTTTTTGTCTGAACTTTGTCGACTCTTTATAGCGAAATTCATTCTTATGGCCTATAGTAACGTTCTCATTGGCGCCATTAAGCACCAATGGTTACACGTCGTAATACCTAGCGTATCATATATAGCAAAATTTAGCGATATTAGACTATTTCTTCAGCTGCAAATATCAAAATTGAAGTCAGCAACCTTCAGCGCGCAGAATAAGCCCAAAAAAAGCGCTTTTCCTACGCGCTTTCAATAAACGCGCGAGTACTCGGGAGAACGGCGCCAACAATGAAAGATAATGATTCATTATTTAATTTTCTTTAAATTCCGATTCATTACAACGCCTGAATTGGCGCATAAATAAACGCTCGAGCGAGAAGCAGTTGTTTAGGATCCTTTTCTCAGTCCTAGTTACACCATGTTTTACTCGGACTTTTCTTCGAGAACATGTTGTAATAAATTCTGAGATTTTTAACTTTGAATTAAGTACACAACTACAACTATCTGCATGGAGGGAATTCTTGGTTTTGATGATTATGTGAGAAAGAGGACTTTTCTCATATAATCATCACTCTCCGTATAAGCAATTAAGAAAAGCGGGTTTAACGATATGCCTGAGTGAATCTAAGAAGGATCTACCTTTTCCTCTCACTCCCTCTAATATCGCTGTGCACTTATGCTGAGAATTACATAGCTTTTCTAATTAGATTAATAATTACATAGCCTGTTAATTATATGTCTAAAATATTGACGTTTAATCGGCTAAAATCTGTTAAAAAGCTGACCGTTGACGGTCACCGCTTTCAGTCCATTATTTCACCACGAATTGAGGGACTAAAAACAGGCATTTAACTGTATGCCCTCGAAACTAAAATTCACATCGACCGTTAACCAAGGGGGAAACTGCGGACTTTATAGACTTGAGCGGACTTTAAAGTCCTCTCAGATCTTCTAAATTCCCAAAGTCCCGTCAAGTCCTCTGAAGTACGCTAAAGTCTGGTCAAGTTCCGTTCAAGTCCAATTAAGCCTCGAAACATCCAGTGTGACACAACGTATTTCTTTGAGTATCACGATTATTTATTCGTAAAAGTGACGAGACAAATAAAAATAATAAATTTTCTGTCACCTGAACTATAACTGGAATGCTATAGAGAACATATTTGACGTAGAGAAGTGTTGAACAGGAAATGAGTGTGATCTATTCTTCGTTGCAGGATGCATACACATATAGAAAAAAAAACGCTTTCTGCTACTTAAAGGAGGACATACACGGCTTTTCTATTGCTCAATTCACTGCGAATGATAGTTAGATAAATTTTCCTATCTGCTAAGGGTTAGCGTCATTGTGATTTCTAAAACAACATTCATCAATAACGCTCGTATTTTGAAAACTCAAACTCTACAATGGATTTGCCTGACGACTGTTTTGAGTATTGCGGCACAGAGTTCTTTGATTTTGTTCGGAAGTTTGCTGGTCCATTAGAAGCTGACCTGCTGGAAATTCAACACGTACGAAGTGTACCGTCACTCTTGAAGATACACGACATTTTTTCGATCATGGAATTAGACTGTCCCGATTTGGATCAAATTAAAGACAACATTTCCTTCAAAAGTAAAACAACAAAGTGCATCGCACAAGGATGCAAGTTTTCTGAAACTATCAAGGGCAAAAATTCAGACGATAGTTGAAAATGCCTTCGAGAGTGCTGTGTGGGTGATGAATCGGTTGAAAGTGACCACATTGTTGGAGCAGAACAAATTGAACGAACTGAAATTGTTGAGCGTCTATTTTGATCAACACTTCACGTTCACTTCACGACTCAAAGACAATTCGCAAGCAGTCGAGAGTTCTGAAAGCGAAGATCAGACAGATGATGAGACGGAGAGTGTTGATGATGATGAGAACTCGACGACAGACCAAAGCGAAGAAAGTGACAGCGATGACGAGAACGTGTTGTCACCAGCGACTAGAAAAGATTTTCCTCGGATGCGAATCTACGACTCTATTAATCCGACGTTGGCAAACACATTTTTTCAGATAAAGCTCGGCGACACCAAGAAATACATTCACAAACAGACCGCATGTTGGGCACTGACGGAGTCGAAGAATCGTTTGTCGTCGGACAAACTAGCTAGAGTTCAGCAGACACATTTTCAGAAATAGAGCATATTAAATTTCTATGTATTTTTGAAGTAAAAACTTCTGCTTAGGGGTGGCACATTTTCTTTACTGATGCGTTACTTTACTGAGTATGTTATGATCTGCCATTCCTGGCAGCTCATAAGACTGTGTTTTCTTCTTCTTCTCCTTTCTTTCTATTATTGCGCAACTCTTGTTTCATTCTTTCGTTTTCGTTTCTTTCTGTTATTGCGCAATTCT